GTGTGTGGTCATCTATCTATCTATATATATATATATATATATATATATATATATATATATGTTCATTATCTATCTATCTCTCTCTCTCTCTCTATATATATATATATATATATATATATATATATATATATATATATATATATGAAAATGAGAGATAGAAAAGATGGAGTAAAATTCCACCGTTCGTAGCATTTATTTTTAAAATAGTGCTCAATACAATATATTATTACTATTATTATTATTATTATTATTATCATTTTTATAATGAATGATTATAATAAAACATTTTGAAATCGCTGCAAAAAAGTTTTCATGTTTCAATACTATGACTGTACTTCTTCAGGCGGTGGTAAGTAATCTGTGATTAAGTTATTTTTTAGGAAATTTAAGTGTTACCACTTTTTCGAAAGTTAAATGTGGGCGGGAACATAAAGTTAGTATTAAAAATAGACTTGTGGGTGTATCTTGATTAACCAATTAAATGCCAGATCTACGTTAAATAGAGAAGTAAGCTCAAAGGGGAAGGTGGATGATTTCTTTTTTTCTTCATGTCACGATAAACCGGAACATAGACAGTCGATCATTGATGATTTCAACAACTTTATGAACAATTGATTTTTTTTTAAGGTCTTTCATTATTTCATCCGCCGGGGTAGATTGTTCTAGTTCCACGTGCAATGCCTCTTACGGGTGTCTCAGTTATTTCTCTTTAACCCACCTCTCCAAGTTTTTGTCCCACCACTTCTGTGGCCTGGTATTGAACTCGCAACTCTTTCGGTCTGGTCACTGTATCTAACCAACATCTTTATCCACTGCGCCATGTGTCCTGTGAGTTAAAGGGAAATACTTGGAAATAATCCGGAAGAGGCATGGCACGTGGAATTAGAACAATTTACCCCGGTGGACGAAATAAGGGTTTCGGTTTGAAATTCCAAACACCTAAAGAAGGCCGGAAAGTACAACGGCCGAAACGTTGTGAATATGACAATGAAGATGAGGATAATAGCCCGAATAAGGTAAATAATGCAAGTATAGTTTTACTTTGAACCCCCAAAAAAAAAAAAAAAATCAACTGCTTTCTATTTATGGAAATTATTATTATTATTATTATTATTATTCGATGAAGCAGGGTGACAAAGCTTCCAATATCTTTTAACCCCTTTCGGATATTTTAGAACAAGCAGTGGTTAATGGTGAGCAAGGCAACAAAGCCACTAATACTCAGGAGTGCTTACTGAGTGTGAATGAATATAAGATAAAGCATTATTAATGAGCAATAATAATAAAAGAACAGGATTTAATACAGACGATAACGATTGACACTGTATTTAATTATTTTGAAGACCAAACTTGACTGCAAAGTAGGAAACAGGAAGAGATTTCTACATGCGAGAAGTGCTATAGAAGAAACTGTTAACATAGAACTTACGTTTAGCCATTTCCACTGTAAAATGATGAGATATTTCCAAGAATCTTGTACTGCGTTTATCTTGTAGAGTAGTTTTCACAGTGGAGGCTTGTATTTCACTCAGTCGGTCCTAAAATAGGTTCGACGTACAAAACGTTAGGAACATGATATAATGGTTAATGACGCAGTAATCTAGTTGTGGTGGTTGATACTTTAATGTCCGACATCGACTGACTCACCAACTCCACTGATCCCTCCTGGCGACTGCTACTACTACTTATTATATGTGGGTGAGTCTATTTACAATAGAATAGGTATGTTCCGGTATAACAGTTTAAAATCGTAAGGTCGAGATACCAAAGAGTAACGTTCCTAAGAAAAATAACCATGAAAAATATTTATAGAAAAAGGTACAGGGAAGCTCCATTATGGCGGTGGGTGAATAACTGATACCGAGATGCCAGGTCAGGACTAATGATATTGCAGATTCTGTTTTGGATTTTATCAAGAACCCTTTTTTCTAGAATAAGGAATTGAGTATTATTATTTAAGAATAAAGACCTGGATATCGCATTCCTTGTAATGTCTGATGATTCAGAGACAGCCATGAAACTTTAATCGCGAAAAGGCAGTAATAACTTAGTATTTTTTCTTATATTTATTATATTGGTTCTGTTTGTATATGTTTTTATATTTGACATGGAGGAATGTAGGAATTAATGCCCTATATTTCGTATAGCTAGGTATTAAAGAACTGAATAGTCTGGGTACTCTCCCATTGGTTAACAGACAGTGTAGGACAGCAGTTCCCAAACTTTTTTTCTCTCAGCCGAATTTTCTGAATAAAAATTTGATCGCGCCTCAGCAAATTTAAAAAAAAAATGGTAAAAACTACATTAAAAAAAAAAAAAAAAAAAAACAACAAAGACAGGGTTAAAGGAAGGTAACCACGGATTCTGTTATGGTCCGGTTCCTTGTACCACGGTGATAGTCCAAGGTAGAACCAATAAAGAAGAACTCGAATACGGATATGGAATAACACAGATATATTACAAACAGGAATATATACAGAGAGGTAGAAAAATGTTAGTACAATCAGGTTTAGTAGTAATTGTCTGAACGCGACTCTGTTTCAGACTGCCTCTGACTCGACTGACTGACTCGTTCGCTCTGACTGACTGACAGACTCCTGACGGACTTCACTCCAGACTTCAGACTGAACGGTATTTAGTCACCCCACCACGAGGGTATCATGTGGCACAAGGCCGGTTTAACGTGGGATCTCCGAGCCCGTGAGCTCGGCCAAAAATATGCCATTGAACCCGTATAAATGAGTTCAGGGTCGGTTTACCTCCCCGAAAGGGACTCCGCCCTTCAGCGTAGCCTCGTTCGGGTTCCTCCCCGCCCGAAGGCTGAGAGTTCAACTATCAGCCGGTCAGCCGGTCATCCGACTTCGGACTGAACGGTATTTAGTCACCCCCCACAAGGGCATCATGTGGCACAAGGCCGGTATAACGTGAGATCTCCGAGTCCGTGGGCTCGGCCAAAAATATGCCCCTTGAACCCATATAAACAGGTTCAGGGTCGGTTTACTTTCCCGAAAGAGAATACGCCCTTCGGCGTAGCCTCGTTCGGGTTCCTCCTCGCCCGAAGGCAGAGAGTTCAACCGATCAGCTGATCAGCCGATCAGCCGGTCGCCCGACTTCGGGCTGAACTCCCCGCTTCCTCTTGAGGCAGAGTATTTATTACGTAGGGAATAGTCCATTATGTTATTATGGGTAAGGTCCCATAACAGATTCAGAGTCAGAATATTATCATTGATAACTCTCTCCTCCAATTTGCGGACAATAGTTACTATATTCTTAATGCATTATGAAATGGACAAAGTCCGACAATTATTTTAAGATATGTGTTTTTAATCTTTATACATTCTTTTTATAGATACAAATATTTAAGTAAATTCTCTATTTATAATAAATAGTATTAACGACATTTACCGGCCTGAATGTACGAGAAATTTTCATACAAAATATGCGTCCAACGACAGGAATCGAACCTGTATCCTATACGGAACCGTCATATAGCCTGACGTGCTTTTACCGATTTCTCCACAGAGGAGCTTTTTGGTTAGCAAGGTCGATTTTACTGTTTTTAAACTACAATTTTCCATGATTTTCTCACGTATATTTATATCTGCTCGACGCCTATTCAAATGTAAACAAGATCATCTCGTTAAAAAAAAATAGATAAAACGAGATGTTGGTTAGGTTTTTAGGGCAGGTTATTTAAAGTCAGAAATATACCTAGATTGTAAGATTTGGGGTGCGGAAATAATAATGAATTAGTGATACAAGTCTTACTAATTAACCCATAGCAGGGGGAGAATAGGTGGAATCATATCTTTCCCCACGAATATTTGCGCGTAAGTGAATATAACAAAACTAAATGGGAATTGGAACCCGGTCTTCCGATTAACAATTTCATTACACCGTCCGCACATCCAAGCTAACAGCGTCTGGTATTCTCAAACGGTTACCCATCTAGTCTAGAACGGCTCATTATCAGACATAATAGACATTCAGTGGGTTGGTTTGGTTTTCTGTGTTTTACGGCATATCAACCTCAATGGGTTATTTAATGCCGAAAACTTTTTTTTCCTGGTAATATTTTTGTTTTGTCAAAAATCTATTTCTGGAAATATTTTTTTTCCTTAAAATTGTATAGCTGGTAATATTATTTTAAAAAAACGTATTGGTGGTAAAAGTTTTTTGCAAAGTATTGCTGGTAATATTCTTTTCAAAAATGTATTGCTAGCATAGACCTAGAAAGAGATAGTTGAAAATTATGTGAGATATAATGAGGAAAGAAGTCTCGGAAGGTATGATACTCACAAGGCATACTGAAGGAAGGAGGATGAGACGAGAATAGAACCAAACTAACGTAGATGAACGCATAAAATTACGTACAATGTAATTAAACTTCACTATTAAATAACCCATAGAGGTTAATGTGCCGCTAAACAAAATCTACCAACCAATGAAAGCATGAGATTTTCATCTGGCTCAGTTCCAAACTATAATAGAGGGGGGCACCCAGTGAGAAGTGAATTTACTGAAGGTAAAATGTTTTACTCGCCTGTTTCACCGATCGTTGCTCTAATAAAGGTTTGGTTTGGTTTGTTTTACGGCACATCAACCTCAATGGGTCATTTAATGCCGACAACTTTTTTTTCTTGGTTTTTGACAAAACAAAAAGTTTTGTCAAAAATCTATTTCTGGAAATATTTTTTGTCTCAAAATTGTAGTGCTGGTAATATTTTCAAAAACGTATTGCTGGTAATAGTTTTTTTTCTTCAAAAATTTATTCCTGGTAATAATTTTTTACAAAGTATTTCTGGTATTAAAACCTATTTTTACACTTTCAGAATGCTTTTTACTTCAGTTTCGGGGTTCACTATTTGCCCATAGCTGAGACCCTAACAGGTGCTACCACCTCGTAGCAGGGTGGATCTGGGAACACTAGCAATTAAGAGGTGGTTCCATCGCTCCTGAAAACCTCCTGATCAGAGGCATTGCTGCTGGACGTAGTTTAT